TTCCACTCATTGCTTGTAGATTCTACTGTGAGCAATTTCTTATGACAAATAATTGTTATAGTTCCCTTTATTTGTGAGCAAAATGGGCACAACCCCCTATATATATATATATATATATATATTCTTCAGGATATGTCTCTGATGAGACTTCTTGTGAATACCAGGTGATATTCTATACCATTATTTCTAGTTAATTTGTATCTAACTGTAACAAATTTCATGGATTTCTGGAGCAAATCATGATGTCATGTTTTTCTTTTACTGATACTCCATTAGAAATCCCCAAATTCCTCACTGATAATTTCTGGCCAAGTGTTGTAAATGGTTCAGCAGTGGGAACTGAAAACTCATAAATGACATCTCTTTCTGGAAATGAGCCCAGAGATAACAAGTCCAATGAGGCAAAACTTTTGAGAGCTTGTTTTTCCTTAAAGAGTTCTTCCTACACAGCCTTCAGGGATCATGAAATATTGGAGCCTACCCAAACACCTTTGGTCTACAGAGAATAAACATTCATTGGTTTCAATAAACTAATAGAAGAAGAAATATTTTAGCAAAGTCCTTGGCTCCCAAAGCCAGAGCAATCATTGCAAATATAGGTTAGAAGTTTGTAGTTCTTAAGGGAGACGAGATCATAGAGCTATGATCCTTTATCTTAGTGTTGAGCTGCCTCTTACTTGTTATTTCTTGAGCTACACCATGAAGTGATGTTTTTATCAGGGAATCCATCAAGTGATCACTAGATCACTATGTACTTCAGTCTAGAAGGCAGAACAAGATAGAAGAGAAACCTGGTAAGCACTCCTGACTGGAAAATTATTGTTGGTAGAAACAGAACAATGAGCATTCTAACAAAGTTAGAGGAAAGCTTTTTGGTCCATAAACAGAATTATTGAGGCAAACAGATATCCTGTGGCTGCCCTGAGTCATAGAGAATCTGGGGATAACAATCAGCAGGACCAATCCCTTCACCCAGCAGGTACTAGATGGGGTAGATGCTAAGGTGGGCCAGCCCCTGGCCTGGGTGATAGCTGATTTGGTTCATCCATGTCATCGGGGCTGCACTTCTCAGGCAAGAGGTGGGGTCATCTCCCCTAGACCTATGTCATCAGGGTCAGTTCTCTCTACCCATGATGAAGGGTGGGAGCATCTTTCCTTAGCAGGGGGGCCAGTGCTTCCACACTCATGGTAGAGCTAGGCCCCCGTGCTAAGGAAATTTGTGCAAATTCCTGAAGGTGACACTGTTATTCTAAATCTTGCAGGACACTCATTTCCAGGTCCATCAAATCTGTCTTCTCTTATTTCTTCTGGTTTAGTGACACCTGAATGGTATGCCAATCTTGAATTTCGTTGTCTAATTTTGATAACTGAAGTTGTATCCCATATTTTGAGCACATAAAGCCTAGAATTGGACAAAGAATGTGTCCATAGCTATTATTTTCTGGTGTCTTCAAAGTTACAAAATGCATATTTTATATTCTTGTGTTCTGTACATATATATTTTGATGTTAAGAGTGATTCACAATTTGGATTTATTACTACCAGTTTGATAAACATACAGATCATCAATTTAAGAGTTAATTTGAAATTGGTGAGATTTATTGTTCTTTTCTGAGTGTGTATATGTGTGCGTGTGTATGAGTATATATGTGCATGTGTCTGTGTGCATGCATGATTTTGTGTGTCTGTGAGTGTGTGTTTGTGTGTGTGTGTGTGTGTGTGAGAGAGTGTGAGTGTTGTGTGTGTTCAGGTTAACCATTAGTTCAGGAGAACTATCACTTGAGTGTGCTCTTATACTTCCTTAGATAAAATACCCTTGTTTCTTTTGGAACTGGGTATTTTAACTGCCTTGATCTCTCAGCAGGCTAGTGATCCCCAAAATTCTCCAATCTTCACTTCTCTTGACCTTAGATTACAAGTGGACTGCAATATAGAACTTGTGTTTTTTATGTGAGATCTGGAGATAGAATGCAGTTTCACCTACCTAGAGTGCAAACAATTTACCACCCGAGTTCTTTGTCCAACATGGTAATTACTTAAATTCTGTACACAAAATTGTTTTGTATTATAGCTTTCATATTTCAGAGTTGATTATGTGTCTTGAAGAAGGCTCATAAAAGCAAATCTTTTCAATTTATTGCAGACATCTTCTTATCCTTTACTATCAGCAATCATATAAACATGTTTGCTGCCAAAAAATGAGTTTCTAGTGTATTCATCAAACAAAACTTGAATACAGGCAGCTTCTGTAGGAATAAATTTCAAGTTATGCGTGATGTCAACTTAGGCTAGAATATAAATAAAATTTATATCAGTAAAATATTTTAAAATGTGGTTGATATATCACACTTGATTAAAAATTTATGTGACTGTCTGTGGAAGCAACCAGGCCATATTCTCATATTTCAGTGGTTCAAACTGCTCAGAATAAACATTTTCACTTTACACAATAATTTACAAGATTTTTTCTCAGGATTTGTTTTGGAAGTGATATTGTCCACATCAAAACTCCGTGCAAATATCAGTAGATGGCAGAGGAAGAGTATTGTAACAGTGATTCATACACTGTCACCCACATCTGTTTACAGTTTTAAGTCTAGCTCGAGGAAGACTCAGTGCAGTTAAACTTCAAGTAGCTACTGCTCTATAAAAAAAGTTTATTTCAGGTGATATAATAAGTGTGATCACAATGCATAATGCACCTGTAAAATTTCATGGCTTCCACAAATTGCAATCATTGGAAACTGGCAGAGTACCTTCAGCAATTGTAAAATAGGGATGCTTCAGACCTTTCTGTATAATAATGTTTTCCTGTGTTATCTCTCTTCTTCCATTCCTCATTGTTCTGTATGCTGAAAGAGCACTCAGGTTTCTATACATTATTATTAAACTTGCTGCATGACACTCCTAATCATTTTCTTTCAAGTACTTGGCAGCTCAGTTTGGCGATATTTTGTGAATTTGATCTTTTCATTATTTTTATTTTTTTCTATTCTGACAGATCTGCCATGTTAAAACTCTATTCTCAGTCAGAATGTCCAGCACCTCAGTAAACCAAGTCCTACAGGTCAATCAAATTGAAGATGTTGCCATATTGATTGTTTTTTAAACTGTTCTCTGTGGGGCTCTCTACATCCTTGAAAATCATTCTTTGTATGATTTCCTTATATAACAAATAAAGTATCATAAAAGTGCAACAAAGATTCAGCATAGTTTTCCAATGTGTGTCATGATAAAATCGCATTGTTCATCAAGTCAATATTCATGAGTTCTATGGCTTGGATCTTACTCTGGACATACATCTCTATGGCTTTTATCTTGTAGAGGGCAAACTTCATATCAATCATATTCAGGCAACCCTTAGAACAAAATCACTTTTTGTTTATTGCAAGGTGATTAGATTTTTTTCTATAAAAGAAAGAAATAGAACATACATTTCACAGGGCACTGCAATTCACAAAGAAAATCCACTTAGTATTTAAAACATACTTCAAGATCAGATGCTGGGGTGAATATACCAATCCAAGGAATCTACTGGCAAAGGAAGGAGTTGCTAAAAGTTTCAGGCCAGCAAGGATTACAGAGTTAAAATCTGCCTGAATTTAGATCCCTTATGAAATAGAAATAACAGAGTGACAACTCTATTTGTTGCATTTCTAAGTCACTATATCAATCATAAAATCCTGTTGGTTTCTTGGTAGGATAGGACTTTTGGACAATGGGTTCATATCTGTGTTCTCCTGCAAGAGACTGGAAAACTGCTGACTTGTATTGAGATTTGTCTCAAGGGATAAATGTCAAATGAACTCTTATATTTCTTCAGCAATTGGCCTAGGTTAATGCATTCACTACTCATTTGTACTGCTGCAGAGGACTGCACTGTGAATATAAGCAGAAACAGCATACTCCTTTTTGTTTATTTGATTGTTTTGAATCAGGATCTCAGTGTTTAGCTCTGCTTGTCCTGGAATTCACTATGTATACTAACTTTCCTTGAACAAACAATGTTCTGCCTACATCTACCTTCTACATGCAAGGATTATAAGCATGTGCTATCATGTCTAATTAAGGGAGCGAATTCTTATAGAATGAACTGGGAGGTCCTTAATTTGAAGCCATTTCTTGCTCTTGTATTTTAAAATTTGTCATCAAAGACATTTACAGAAGATTGAAAATGTGAACAAATAGATCTATGCCTACTGAAGTAAAACATATAAGTCAAAGTGAATAGTATTGCAGTATCCTTATTTTTAGCAAAGGCTCATGTGTCATACTAGTTTTCTTTTCTATTTGTGCTGCTGCATTCTGACATCTGGCAGTGTGTCTATTTAGGATACTGGAATCCTTCCCCTGTTTATTCGACATAGAATGTGGTTGCTGTACATTTATTATGACATAGCCAAACAAATATGTATGTTTTTCTGACTTTGCCACAATGACACATAGTGAATAATGTGTGCACTTGTGAAATTCAATGTGCTATATTCCTTAATTTAACATCAAACTCACAATTTGAATTTCATGACTAGATTTTATGCTATTTTATGAACATTTTCTTATACTAGAGCATATAAATGCTCAGTTTGTTGAGGGAAATTATACATTACTTAAGCTTCAATTTTGGACAAAGAAAGCATGGAGGTCTCTCACTTTAAAGCTGACAATTAAAGTCTCTTTTCCAGAAATATATTATGTAAGAAAGTTCAAAATGGAATGCACAAGTGAACATTATTTCCACTTGGATTCGACTGGTGATTGATTCTTCATTGAAATGTGATCTTATTTTAATTTCTGTAGATTTAAAGAAATGTAGAAATGTAATAGAATTTCACTACAAAATAAGTACAATTACAGCCTTCAACAAAAATTCACTAAACATCATTACTGATAGCAATGTATTTGTTTTGAAGCAGTCTTGGTAATTAATATGGTCTCATTTTGCAAACTTGAATTCAAATGATTTTCCTCTACATGCATAACAGGATAGAAATTTTTAATGCATGATTTGGATTAGAAGCATAATTGTTGTCATAATTCAAAAGGAAAAGTTCTGAGTGACAGAATGGACTCCAGGAACATGGCAATAGGAACAGTGATCTCACTCCAGAGTGCACTTGGAATTTTGGGAAATATATTTTCTCTTTTCTACTATCTACTTGCTTACTACAATAAGCACACATTAAAGACTGTAGATTTAATTCTTACACATGTGTTCACATCAAATTCTTTAATCATTCTCTCTACAGGAGTGCCCCATATAATGAGAGCTTTTGAGTGGAAAATGTTCTTCAATGATGTTGAATGCAAACTTATTTTATATGTTAAGAGACTTGGCAGGAGCATGTCCATCACCACCACCTGCCTCATGAGTGTCTCCCAGACCATCACCATCAGCACTAGTGATTCCTGTTGGAAAGGTCTTAAAATTAAATTACCAATACATATTCACTTCTCCATTTCCCTCCTATGGGTCCTGTACATAATAGTAAATATGATTTTCCCCATGTACTCATCTATGACCAAAAGAAATAGCAAAAATGAGACAAAAAAGAGATATTTTGAATTTTGTTCTTTTTACACTCGTGACAAAACAGTAGATTTACTGTACATAGCATTTTGGGTGTTCCCTGAAGTCTTATTTTCTATATTCATTGTATGTTCCAGCATCTCCATGATTGTCATGCTCTATAGACACAAGAAGAGGGTTCAGTACATACTCAGCACTCAGGTTTCCACCAGAATTTCCCCTGAATCCAGAGCCACACAGAACATTCTTGTTTTGGCTTGCACCTTTCTACTTTTTTATTCCTTCTCCTCAATTTTACACACCTACATAGCTCTTTCTCATAATTCCAATTTGTGGCTAATGGATATCACAGCCATTATTTCTATGTTTTTCCCTACGTTATGCCCCTTTTTGAGGAGTAATTTTTCCACTGCTTCCAGGTTTTACTTCTCCTGGATAAGGAATATAAAAATGAAATAATCTTATCATAATATGTAAACCATATTATTGTAATGTTGTATATCTAAGAATTTAGGTAACCGTGTTGCTCAAAATATCAGCATAATAATTTATGGTATGTAATATTTTAATCCATATTGACCTCACAGAATAATTATAGTACATTCATCATTATAGTTTCTGGCCAGGAAAACTGAAGGTTCACAGCCATATTAAATATTGTAGTTTTGGATTCCTTATAGTCTATCCAAATGTGCTTGATTACTTCCTCCATATTTCTACTACTGTTGTATAAGTGAGCTTATCCTGATAGGCCAGTCCCTTTTTGTAGCTCTCACCATTCACTGGTATGTGATTGTGTTTACTGCTTTTCTCCAATAGAGAGCATAGCACCTTGTAGCAGTAGGAAAGATACCCAGTAGAGATGAATTTTCCAAGTTAGTATCCAATGTATATTCAAGTATTTTTGCAGTCATATATTTGCATCCATAGTTATTGTGTGCAAGCATGCACAAGACCTTTGCATTTAGAAAATATAGCAGCATTGTGAGTGACATTACATCGAATCACTACATGAACTACATCTGGCATTTGATAAGTGTTAGGAGGAGAGCGCTAGTATGCTGTAATACTGCTGCTGTCCTGTACATTGAGCACATTATGTGACAGGAATTACAATCAGCAATCCTTAGTGAACATAAAATGTATGTGATAGTTTTACAAATAATATAACTTAAAATTTGGTCAAGAGGTGGGTAGGGATGGATCTCAGAGAAGTTTGTGGAGAGATGCTGTGCATGATCAAAACAGTTTGATGTGTTAAGTGTTCTGTAATCTTGTGTTGTTACCAGGTATATATGCTCAGAGAATTCAGACTAAAACTTTATAGAGGCAATGGGGTGAACACTTTTTCAATCTCAATTGAACAATGAAGTTACATTTTGAAAAGTTGTGACAGGAGGGAAGTCACAATATGCAACATACAAAAAGGTCAAACTTTTTTTGTTCTTTAAAAACATTATTTCTTATACCAATAACAGTTTCTGCTCCCTCCTTTTCTACTGTTTTCTCCTGATTCTTCAATTCTACACCCCTATACTCTCCTCTTCCATCTCCATTCAGTTGGGGCAATGCTTCCTATGGAAATCAACAAAGAATGGCATATTTTCTTGAATGCTTTCAAATGTCAATTTCAAGTAAGAAGGTCAGAAATTTATCGAACCCTCTTCAAAAGACATATGTAAAGGGGAAATGTCCTTTTCTTGTGTTGTTGCTTTATTAGCTATTTTTTTCATTTATTTTACATCCTGAAGGATTCCCCCTTCTTCCTCTCATCTTCTCCCCCTCAATGTCTTCCCTATATCTCCTAACACTCAGTGTTCAGAAAGAGGCAGGCCACCAATGGGCATCAACCACACATGACATATCAAGTTGAGGCAGGACCTGAAGTGACCAGACCCTCACTTGGGTCCTGCTTATAGCAGCCATGACATTCTGTACAAAAGACATGCAGGGCATTGACACAAGGAAACTTCAGATACTCTAGCCTCACAGAGCCTAGGGCAAATACTGAACACAAAGAAAGTACAGACCTCCCTAGTCTCTGAGATGCCTGGTTCCTGGGAACTGTTTGGCTAAAAAAGAAACTCCCAGGGAGACCAAAAACTTCCCAGTAGTCTCCAGGATACAGTTCTGAAAACTATTGGTATCTATGTACATACAACAGACCACCTGCAAGTAACAAGACAAAGCCATAGAAACCACAGAATGTTCCCTCTCAGCACTGACCAATGAGAATAATTGATACACAGGTGTTTCATGCCAAAATATGACTTTGAGAAATTCTCCTAATAGTTCCCAAATGTCAACCAATCAGAAACCAACCCTTATCTACTGATGTCATCCTGTAACTTTTGTCTTTAAAACTTAGCAGTAGACAGGGAACTTCACTCCCTCTGGAGGCTGCTCTGTCATGGTTGGTTGATTAATAAAACCTTGCTTTTACAATTCAGTGGGTCAGTCTCCCTGGTGGTCTTTGGGAATCTTCATGACCTGGGTACAACAGACCAAGCTCATTCCCCTGTATCAAGAACAGGGTAGGCAACCCACCTTGAATAATAGGTTTCCAAAAGCCAGCTCAAGTGCCAGAGACAGGTCTCGATCCCAACACTAGGAGGCCCAGGATGAAACAATGCTGCACAGCTCTCACACAACATGGGGCCCTTCTAGGGAAATTTTTAAGGTCATTGGCAGTTTATAGAATGTTTTTTTCAGAGATGATGTAATTATAAAGTCCCTAATATTTCTATTTCAGCTAACATGAAAGATGGATCCTTTAATAGTTGCAAAAGTTCTGTCACGGGACTATTGACCAAAAATCATTATAAGAATAAATTTAACAATGTCCAATCAAATGAAAGAAAATGTGAACACAATTTCAGAGAATGAAAAGAATTAAGACTCTTTTTTTTGAGACAGGGTTTTTTGTGGCTTTGGAGGCTGTTCTGGAACTAGCTCTTGTAGACCAGGCTGGTCTTGAACTCACAGAGATCCACCTGCCTCTGCCTCCCGAGTGCTGGGATTAAAGGCATGCACCACCACCACCCAGCGAATTAAGACTCAATACAACACATGATTATAGAATTCATCACAGTTAATTCCTAAGGGAATAACAATCTCACAGACTATACAAATGAAAAAACTTCATGAGCCAAAATTAAACCCCGGTAAACAGCTTCACCAACAGAATGGATCATGAGGACAAAGAGTCTCAGAGCTGAAAATAAGTTGGAAAAATGGATCATTATGAAAATATAGCTTACATTTTCTCTTATTCCATAGATGACTGGCTGGCTGGGTAGATGGGTTTCTATGTGTCTGAGTGCTGGTCCCTGATATCCTCCTCTTCTTGTCCTATCAGGCTCATTCCCTTTCCCAGATTGCTACTCTTATTCTTTTTCTCTTCCTACCATAAATAGTTATAATTTTTTGCTCTACTGTTGGGTGTTTATATCTTTAGTAGACACTCAGTTGTTTTGGCCCTGCAATAGAATCACAGCTTCCCAGAGTAAAAGAAATGCCACATAAACAAAAGCAACACATCTTTGAGTCATTAAACAATTGATCCTGAGTAAAAAAGCTATAACACACCTTTTATAATATTCTGTAACAGTGATCAATTCTGAGTTCCTGTAAAACTTCACACCCCTTTCCATGTGTGACTAACCCATCCTACCCTCTGTGGTTATGTTTCCCTCAGGAGGAGACCTGGATTTACCACCAAGGCACTACTCACCTTTGGAAGTCTGAATAATAATTATCTCCTCATGTTCTTTGAAATATTAATATATCTGTACATTAGGTATAAATAAGTAGTAGAGCATATACCTAGCCATGCAAGAATGTTTTAGGCGCACATTATTAATTTGAATTTTACAAGTCTTGTTCTACTTGGGACACTTTGAGAACTATTTTATCCTGCAATAACTTCTTCCGGATTCTATATTTCTAACTTGTTCTAGAGTATTCCTGAAGCACAAAGCAAGCTTCAAACCAAACAATTCTGTGTATTGAAACTGATGGTGGTCTAATGCATATGGCATGTCTATTATTTCTTTGTTGGCCTAAAACCCTGAAACTAGATGTTTCATGCACAGAAGATAAATATTCAACCTTTATTTTACATACCATTCCCACTTCCTTATCCCTCCCATCCTCCAATGACCCCCACTGTACTCCAATCTCAAAACCCATCCACTTCTCAGGAAAGGTAAGGACTCCCACATGGGATCATTAAAGTCTGTTACATCATTTGTGGCAGGACCTAGACACTACTTTATGCATTTGGGCTGAGAGAGTATCCCTCCATATGAAATGGGCTCATAAAACACATTCATACACTAGCAATAAATACTGCTTCCACTGATAGCGGCTCCATAGCCTGCCCAAGCACAAATGCTTCCTGAATATAATACCATTAGCACAGACAATAAGATCTACTATTAATAAATGGTAGCTATTGAAACTGAAAACCATCTCTATGGTAAAGGAAATAGTCAGCAACACAAAATGGCAACCTACAGAATGGGAAATGTCTTCAACAACCTTATATCTGACATAGGGCTGATTTCCAAAGTATACACACAACTCATGAAGATAGTCACTGAAACACTAAATAATACAATTAAAAAATGGGTCACACATCCTATTAGAAATTTATTGATGGAGGAATCCCAAATGGCTTGAAAACACTTAAATTATTCAACATCCTTTGCTATCAGAGAAATACAAATCAAAACAACTCTGATACATCTTATACCCGTTACATTGGCTAAAATAAAAACCACTAATGACAGTTTATGCTAGAGAGAAAGTGGAGAAAGTGTATGTTCCTTCATTGCTGGTGGAATTGCAAACTTGTGCAGCCACTTCAGAAATCAGTATGGTGTTTTCCCATGAAAATCAGAATAAATCTATCTCCAGATCCAATAATTACACCCTTTGGAATATACTCAAAGGATGCCAATGCACACCACAAGAACTTCTGTTCAGCTATGTTCATAGCAACATTATTTTAATAGCCAGAACATGGAAGCAACATAGATGCCCTTCAATTTAAGAATGGGTAAAGAAAATATGTTACATTTACACAATGGAGTACTACTCAGTTGTAAAAAATAATGACACCTTGAAATTAATAGGCAAATGGATGGAACTAGGAGGAACAATCCTGAGTGAGGTAACTCAAATACACACATAAAAAGCATGGTGTGTACTCACTCACATATGGATATTAATCATAGAGCAAAGGATAACCAGTCTACAATCCACAATCCCAGAGAAGTTAGGAAACAAGGAGGACAATAAGAGAGAAATACATGCTCCTCAAGGGGGAATGGAGGCAGGAGAAAGAGGAGGGGAGAAGGGAATGTGGGAGGAGAACATGAGAGATCAGGAAGTCTTTTTGGTGGAAGGAGAGGGAAGGACAGAAAGAAAAGAGTTACTTTGATGGATGGAACCAT